TCACACACATACACTTTTGGAAGTTACAATTGAAGTAATCTTGATAGCGACTATGATCTTTTTCTAAATACCTAGGTATTCTTGCTATATGTCCATTTGAGCTAATTAGCATGCTTTCTTTCTTAATTCACGCTTGAATTGCTAGAGACTAGCAATAAGCTGGTTGGGGGTTGTGATGAAAGAAAGAAAATGTATATTTAAAGTGTGCTTAACCAATGACATTTGTAGAATTATGGGTTGAAGAGTTGTATTTTCTTATAAGTACTTTCATAAGTGTTCATTTTATTCATATTGTGTGAATTTTTTGATGATTAAAGGTTTGATGTTAAATGGAGAAGAATTAGAAGAAAAGGACTTAAATGCAAAGAGCTGGAAAGAGGAGGATCCAAGGATAAATCTGAAACTTTGAAGGCTAAAGTGCAATTTCTCCATATTTGATTAAGAGCAAAGTTCACGAGTCTGTTACGTTGCCGTGCCCTTCGTGAAGTTACTGTGACCAACGCAAAGGAATTCCAGTAGCATTAGGGGTTCTGCACCTTGAAGCAAGTTCTGACCCTTGATCAATGTGGTGCAAAAATAGAATGAAGTAGGGTTCCACACCCTCATTATGGTTTCGACCCCTCACCGACAAGGCTTTGCAAGAAGAAAAAATAAAATAAAATAAATTTCCTAGGACTACTATCCTAGTTACCAAACACTCCTATTTTATTCCTAATATAAATAAAAGCCTTGAAAACTACATTTAGCATATAGAAAAACAGTTCCTAGGTTTCTATTTTCTTCTTCAAGGCTAGAGAATGATGCCAGAGGACAACTAAACTTTCAACAAAATTAGGGAGGATCTTGATTGAGGAGTTTGACTTGTTATTTTATTTTGATTCCTTCATAGATTTTATTGTTTAATTTTATTTTTGAGAGATTATTAATTATTTTTCAAGAGGTTTCTATTAGATTCTTGTGAAAATTTATGGCCTTAGACTTTAGCTCAAGAAGAATAGTAATTCTCTTATTTTCTGAATCTACAAGTTCTTTGATAGTGCTCCTACTCCTCTTAACCTTCACTATTTTGTGAAAGTAGTTTGTATTGCCATTTCCTTCACTTAGTCATATGATCCTTGATTTTTGCTTATAAAACATTTCCTCTACTAACTATAAATTGGCTACTATCCATGCTTGATCCTTCTTAACTTGAACCAGATCTTAATGTGGACAAGTTAGTAAATCTGTCTGCAAAGCATGTAATTTGGCTCTTTCATGTTACAACTTACTAGGAAAATCACCATAGTTTTCCTTATTCAGCTTTCTTCGGGCAAATTTCAAAGCTTTGAGTTTCTTGCAGAGTTGGAACATGAAACAACCTGAGACATGAAATTTATCCTATGTTTCCTTTACTGTTGCCAAAAATCTATCACTCTTAGTCTAGAAGCTAAAAAATTTGAAGGGTTTCCTCCGTGTGCCACCTATTGGTGTTGCAATCTCTACAAACCCTATATTGTGATCAGAACATCTTGGAGCGAGAAATCTAGCTTTAGTGTTTGGATAAGCATCTACCCAAGCCTCATTAACCATCAATCGATCAAGCTTCTTGGCAATGAGACCCTGAAACCTTTTGTTTGACCAGGTGTTGATGGGATCAATAGTAGGTAAATCATCCAATTCAGCCTCATTCAAACTGTTATGGAAGACTTCTAACCCTATAGGGAGGCAAGCAAGAGAATGCCAATCAGACCTTTCATGAATGGCTCTAATCTCATTAAAACCACCACTTACAATCCAGCGGACAGAAGGGAGGGCTTTACTCATTAGTACCAAGTCAACCTATAATCTTTCTCTCACATTTTCATTATAAGAATCAGCATAAACAACATTGAGAAAAAAATATTTGCCAGAGAGCTTGTCAAGCACATGACAATGGATAATTTGGTGGTTCATGACTGATGTAAGAATTTGAATGTGATCCCTGTAGAATATCCAAATTCTACCTAATCTTACATATTCATAGTTGTGCAAAACAGTTCAACCAAGAAATAGAACTTTACATACCTTTGAAAACTTATGCTGTTGAACATGGGTCTCCAGTAGACAAACAATATCTGTAGAATACTACACTAAATATTTTTTCAAGTATTTTTGTTTACTAGGCATATTTATGCCTCTTATATTCTAGAAAAGTAGCTTCATTTTAGGTGTGAGGATGACACCTCACTAGAGGAATTCGCACTTGTCTTGGAATGCCTTTATTTTGGAATTAAGGTTTTAGTTACTATAGCCACCCCTTGGGAAGTTACTCTAGATCTAGGTGCCACAACTTGTCCAACATCTAGCACAGAGTTAGATACACTTTGAGTCAAGATTGCAAAAGGATTCTCATTCACATTCTCACGAAGTAGAGAAGCTTGATGGGATGGTTGAGTAGTTGGAATAGGAGGGGATTGAATCATTTGAATATCTTTGGAGGGCAAAAGAGTCTGAGTGTCACCAGATTCAGCTAATGCAGTAGAATCCTTATCCTCTTGAGGCTTTTTCCCCTTCCCAGACACTACTTTCCATTCTTGTTTAAGGGCTTGCTTACTAAAAACCTACCTAGTGCAATCCTTACTTGTGTGTCCCTCTTTCCTACAAGTTGTTCATTGTGTAGGCAACCAAGGATATTCAAACATAACATCCTCAGACACATCATTTTCCACTTCAACAGCTACTGAATTAGGGAGATGGTGGACCCTTTCCATATCTACCTCAATATAGACTTGGGCAAATTTGATACGGGTTCATTGCTCAATGGCCTTATCAAGTGACAAAACATTACCAACCGCACTAGCAATGTATCCCAACCCTTCAGGAGTATACATTGACATCGGAACACTTTAGATCTTAACCCAAATTGGAACTTTTGTGGGTTTTTCCTTAATGAGATCTGCATTAGGCTTCCGACGATGCAAATACAAGGACTTATGAGAAATATGCCATGGCACTTTGGAATTCAAGATCCATTTTGTTGTTGTAAAATTAGGAACACGAAACAAGAACGTGTTATTTCCCAATCCTTTAACTTGAATTCTACCTTTACACCCCTAGAGGTTGTTTGCAAAAAAGACAATTTCACCAAAATTAGGAGGGGATCCACCCAAAAATGTGCCCACAAGACAATCCTCCCAAGACCTAACCCCTTCTTCATGAATAGAATGAGGAACTTTGACAACTAATGTGCCATTACGCAATTCAAGAGGATGGAACAAAAGCTTGTTCTTACTGGAATTGGCAACAACATCAGCCCAGGAAATAGGAGTAATAGCAAGGGGCAACACCGGATCCAAATGAGATGGGACCGACCTAGAACAACAATTCACATCTGTAGAGGTGGGATTCATTTTCTTGATTTCTAAACTAAGCTTTTCTCGCAAAATATCCACTGGCTGAAGTACTGGAGAAGCAGTAAGGCGGTTGCCGAAAGCACCAATTGGGGAAACCGCTGCCGGAGAATGTGAACTAGAGACGAAGGGCGAGTTTTGATGGGAACGTGTCATAGATGTAACACTTTTTTTCTCTCTCTAGACAGTTATCTCTCTAGGAGAGAGAAAAGCCAATCAATTTTTTCATATTAGGTTGTTAAATATTTCAACAGCTCATTCCCATTGATCCTTCTATTTGCTTCCTTGAGTTTCTACTTGAAACATTGCTTCCAACTAGACAAGTTGGGCTCTTGCTACCTTGCTTGTGAGGGAGGAGTGTCGTGTGGTCCCAGATAGATGTTCTCTTCTTTTTTTAGTATTTGTTTTCTCTACTTATATGTTATATAATTTAAATTTAAAATTTTAATTTTAATATAAAATATAATTATTAAATTAATTATATAATTAAGTCACTACAAAAAAAGACTCAATTATAAAATATTTTTAAAAACAAATTGTTATAACAAAAGAGTCACAAATATTAGTTTAATAACAACCACCATTATAGAGGGCGTTCCAATAGTCAATTGTTTTTAGTGGCTATTATAAAGGAATATGTTTACATTCGTTCTTTTATAATAAAATATGACATTGCAAAATATATATCTTAATAATTAAAATGTTGTAAATAATAATAATAAATTTAAGTATTTTTTTTATAAATTAACACACAAAAAAATATTAATAACATTTAAATAATTCACAAACAATCCTAAATTCCAATAGTTTTCTTTCAATAAATTAGTTTGCTCTGACTTTGGGTTAGTCAAGCTCAAGTGAGGCAGGGACACTCAATATTCAAAGACTTAAACGCTGACTGATTTGTATAGCGGTTTAAAGGTAATGGTTAGTGGTTTTTTTTTAAACCATTAAAAATATGTATTTGATAAATTTATTTATTTTGAAATTGTTACAAATTAGATATTTGATAAAACTTTTTATTTAATAGTTTGGGCCAACGAATAGTGATTAGGGTTTAAACTGTTAACATATTGAAAAAGTTACCTTAGATAATTTTTTATACC